AAAATTTTAAAATGCCTGATTTTCCTTCTTCCTCTTTCTTTCTATTAATCTATCAATCTACCTCTTCATTCATTTATTAAATGTCCCTTATACCTGCAATTAAGTTCTATGAAACAAGAATATTTACTGTATTATGGCAAATGTTAATCATTATTAAAAGTCCATAATTAATTCATCTTAAAATACTTCATTATTAAATAATTGACAAATAACAAATTAATATTTAATTAATAAACGTTATTAATTAAAATTAAGCTCTATGAAACAAGAATGTTTACTGTATCACAAGTCCCTGGAAGAGTGCTTGATACATAAGATAGTCTCAATACATATTTGTTAATTGATTGAATAGATTAATACTCTTACGAAGATCTTTCCAAGTTAAAATCATAAATCATTTCTAAAATTTTCATAGGACTCTATTCAGTTGATTTAATTTAGTATTAAAATTAACTAAACTCTATTTTTCTTTCCATTTAGGACGTTTTGAACTTTTTATTACTTTTTTAACAAAGTCCTTGATGTTTAAGTTTTGGTATCAATAATTGCCTTCAACCATTGAGGAAGACAGTGTGGCAATTCCTCAAGGACCTACAAACAGAAATTCTATTTGACCCAGCAATCCCATTACTGGGTGTATACCCAAAGGATTATAAATCATTCTGTTACAAACACACATGCACACGTATGTTCACTGAAACACTGTTTACAATAGCAAAGACCTGGAACCAACCCAAATGCCCATCAATGATAGACTGTACAAGGAAAATGTGCCACATACACACCATGAAATACTATGCAGCCATAAAATACAATGATTTCGTCTCCTTTGTAGGGGCATGGATGAAACTGGAAACCATCATTCTCGGTAAACTGATACAAGAACTGAAAATCAAGCACTGCATGTTCTCACTCATAGGTGGTGCTGAACAATGAGAACACATGGACACATGGAGGGAAGCATCACACACTGGGATCTGTTGAGGGGGTTGGGGAGGGACAGCGGTGGGTAGGGAGGTTGGGGAGGCATAACATGGGGAGAAATGCCAGATATAGGTGACGGGGAGGGGATGGAGGCAGCAAACCACATTGCCATGTATGTACCTATGCAACAATCCTGCATGATCTGCACATGTACCCCAGAACCTAACATTAAAAAATATATATTTAAAAAAAAAGTTAGAAGGAGACTAGGAAATTGGCTGTGTTAGACTAGCTGAGACCATGACTACGACTGTTGACTTGGAAATTTTCCTAGATACATGAGATAAAGTAAATAATTTTATCATTCTCTTTCAGGAAATCTCTTGAAGTCCATGAATTTTTCTTCCTTTATTCCAGACTAATAATCTATTATATTATTAGAGAGCACAATTTTTCAGGTCATGGCTTTTCAGATTATTCAAAGTCAAGGAATCTCCATGTTTAAAAAAAACCAAACAGAAAATTTGATGATCCATTTCAAAAAATAATAACAGTTGCCTTAGGATGATCTTAGAAGCAAAATTCTAGGGTCAAATGGCATGAATATTTGAAAAGAAACACTCACACAAATTTACACTTTCAACACAATGTATGAGGGTCCTTAATGTTCCACAGTCTCAACAATGTTTATATCCAGTTTTCTTTTTAAATTTACTTCTGTCCCCAACCCATGACTAAAAACAGGTCAATGGTGAGAGATAAAGTGGTGCTTAAGTACTTTTCCACTAAACAATTTCACTTTACCTAAGTTGGATGAATCACAAAATCATTTACATATCCATGAATTAAAACTTGGTGTAATTAAGAAAATACTCCTTATAATGTGATACACCTCATTTACTAATTTCTTCGTTAAATAATTCTAATGTGTTTTATTAGTCACATAACACTAAAGGGTATACAATATACTGATTGTGGATTTATTATTTCCTTATTTAATTTAGTTTAATGGAAATGAGTTTTTTCCTTCTTAAGGAAATGCCAAAAAAACACTTTACTCATAAATAAAACCATTTCTATATTTCTTAATAAAGTTCTAAAGTAATTTGAAATAAATACATGGCTATGAGTTATTGAATGTCTTATAAGTTCCATAAATTCCATGAGATGACAATTATTCATGTATGTATCAACCTCAGTTCTTAATACTTTTACCTACAAATGTAAGATATCAGGAATCAATTTTAATCTTCCAATAATTCTATGTATAGATAGAAAGATAACAATGTATGTTTTTTGTAAGTTCTATGAGGCACAGCATTCTTTCTAGTAATGTCATGACCCAAGTAAAAAATATACATATCATGCTCTCCAAATTAAGTCAGACAATCTTATAGCTGTATTTATGTGTACATGTATATTTACATATAACAATACTAAATAATTTTATCTGATATATAAGAAATTTGGAATCTAACCAAAAAGGTCTTTCCATTGATATTAAACCAAAACAAAATTACCAGTGCTTAAATGAGAAATAATAGGGTAAAGAAACATTTTTTTCTTATTTTATTACTAAGAATATTATGATATGAAAGACTATCATTCACAAAACAAACACACACAGCACATAACAAATAGAATTATCACTGTATCTTTTGATTATATAATAATTTTTAAAAAATCAAATAATATCATGTATTAGTTGTCCCTAGCAAAAGTTAGACACTAAATTACAAACAGAAAGGGACTATTATCATTTTAGATCAAAAACAATATTAGTATGTATATGTTACTATTAAAAATAATAGAGAATTCTTTGTTATACTGATCAAAAAAAACCTGACCTAAGTAAAACTCAATTAAAAATTAAGAACCTATTTAGGGACTTGACAATATTACCCTTGAATCTTTTCCTTGATTAGATCAATGTAACAGAGTCTAGACAAAGGAAAGTTAATCTTTAATTACCGGAATACAGCATGATATTAATTGAATTGGCCCTGGGCACCTACTAAATCTATGTTAGAGAAATATTTTGGATGGTATACCTTAAGGTAGCAGATTAAATTTAAAAGAATAATTCCGTAATTACTACAATATCTACATGTTAGAGGATACAAAATTCCATATATCATGGTATCAGATAACAGCCTCAAAAGTCCATATGGCTTTTTCTAATGTGTTGATTATAGAGGCATGTGGGGTTTCTGTTATCATCCCTTTGAAATATGGGCCACTTTAATATGCAGGATGGCAAACTTCATGGATTACTGGTATTAATGTAATAAACTCTTCATTTCACAAGCTGTCTACTCTGCAGTTGTATAGTAACTTTGACAGTCACTATGTCTTTGACTTCCAAATAATAACCGTCTTTAAAATGAAGACATTTCCCTTACCTCTCAAATTCCTTTAGAAGCTAGTGTTTGCTTAACATTAAGAAGAAACATGTTTCATATTATGATAAGATCTTATACTTCAAAGGAGCTTCAAGGGTTCTAAAAATGACTTTGAAATATAGTCTCATTAATCTTTTGTATTTTCATGAGGCAAGGAGGTGACAAATATCTCAATTGTGAAAAATAGAAACTAATGAAACAATTATCTAATTTACTTGCCCTGTGCTAAATACTGAAGCAAAGAATAGTCAAAGTGTCAATCCTGGCACTTAACTGAAACTCTAATTTTGCATTACATTGTAACATTTCTGCAGGGGAGGGTAAAGGAAGACAGACAAAAAATATCATAAAATATGATATTCAACATTATCTACTTCATGAGACCCAGAGATTAATATTATTTTTTATTTACTTGATTGTGCTTGATGATGGTGATGGTACCGTAACTTCAAAGACTTATTTCCCTGGGTGACCACATATTGAGTGTAGTCAGGGACACACTACAGGAGTTTGAATCCTACTTCACAACAAAGCTAAAACTTGGCAAAATCAACAATGGTGCAGTAACTCAAGAGAAGAAAAAAAAATAAAAAGCTAAATTTCGACTTAAAATGAACCTAAAAGCTGCCAATATGCCTGATTCCTAAAAGGCAATGATAAACAAAGCAAGCCTCTGGATCTCAGGCTAACTTGGTGGACAAGTTATACTCTCCTGCTTTTGGTTTTTCATTAAAAACTTTGAAAATAAATGAGTTTCTTCATTCTGTTTCATTTTTTTCTCCATATTCTCATAAAAAATCATTACAACAGTTTGGATGTTTAGTGGAAATACATTTGTAAATTACTGATAAAAATGATTGGTTCCTGTTCTTTATCTAGTTTTCCTGTGTAAAATAGCATGGTAACTGACTTATCTTCATTTCCAGCAAAAGTTACTGCATTCATTTTTAGAACAAGAATGCTGTTACTGATAGCTAAGACAATCCAAAATGTAGAAACTAAAATTATTTCTGGAATTGTAAATGCTCAATTAAATGCTTATCTTTATGTGGCTGCTTTCCTTATATTAGAAAAAAAAAGTAAAAATAATTCCGTACAACTGGCTTGATGTGTATCTTCTATATGACTGATTTTACAAATCAGAATAAAGTGCCTTTCTCCTCTGACAACTTTAGCATATTATGAATTTTGTTTTTTTCCCTAAAAGAATGCTAGATTACTTTATTAGCATTAGTAAAAGTGGTAAAATTGTCTTTGGTAAAATAAAGAGACATAACCTGTCCACTCCACTACCCAAAATCTTCTCACATTTGAAAAAACAACTTAAATATTTCACTGAAGAAGTATTTGCCTTTTTGGTTTTGTCCTACACACTTAAAAGAGGTAAATACAAATGTGTGTTTACAATTACAGTAAGTCCTCACATCACATCACGGATAGGTTCTTGGAAACTGCAACTTTAAACAAAACGGTGTACAACACAGCAGGTCCTCAGATAATGTTGTTTAGTTCAATGTTATTTTGTTATAGCACTCATGAGAAAAATGGTTTTGTTCCACATTATTTTACTTAACTTTTCAGTCTTCAAGAACCTATCAATGACTCTGGCTATTTTAATATGGAAACCTTAGAATTTTTTTTCCTTATAGCTTTATAAGGACTATCTAGACTTACCTGGCCCATCAGTCATTTTTTCTAGGCACCGAGGAGTTGCACTAAGAAAAGAGGCATGTTTTCTTTTAGCCACTAAACTACGAGGTGGCATATATTTATGCTTAACTTGGGACATCTCATATGATTTGTGAACATCATAGCTGCCTGGTGCTGGAATACCCTGAAAAAAATTTTAATAGGTTAGCATAAATATATATTACATAAAAAACATTCAAGAAGTTATCAGGTAGATGGTTACAGTAAGCAATGAGTAGAAAAATCCTAAAACTTTTATTAATTAAACATTAAAAATAGAAAGTTAAAAAAGGATTCTTAAATCTATGTCTTCCTAATAAAATATAAACTTACTTGCCAAAGTTAAAGTAAAATAAATGGAATTATTAACTTTAGGACAATATTATTTAAAAACTAGCTTTCATGATATAGATGATAAAATATATTCTAATTTAATTATAAAGATCAAATTGCATACAGGAATGAGAGCAATGATTACCTGTTTCCCTAAGCAGCAGAACCATTCCTGTTTTACTGTTCTAAGTGAACATACTTCACTTATTCAACCAACTGAGACTGCTTATTTCATTTTTAATAGATTACAATTAAGTTAGAAGGTTTCCTCTTTCATCATTTATGGTTCTTTACATGATCTGCAGTCAAAGTAACATTTTTAATCAGCATGAACCAACATGGTATTAATAAATACAATAATAATTCTAAAGTAAATGAAATATAAGTGCCATATATTTGTTAGACAAGTAATGCCTTCAACAATTAGCTAATTTTCCCAGTGAAAACTTTTTTAAACTCATTTCCTAAAATTATTTTAAAATAACATATTCCTTTGAAATCTGTTCACTTAGATTATGTATAAAGACCAAAACTTTTTAAGTGTGAATAATTTCCTAGTAGGCAGGAAAGTGTTATGGCCAAGCATATGGACTCTGTCACTAGACTTCCTGGGTTCTAAATATCTGCTGCTTACAGCTGCATGACCTTAACCTCTGTGATCCTCAGTTTTCACATATGTAAAGTAAGAAAAACTATAGTACTTATTTCATAATATTATTCTGAGGATTAAATTAGTTAAAATGAATAAAGTACTTAACTAGCCTGGTACCTGTTTCTATAAAAGGATTAAGCTAATCTTACTATTCTAGAAAATCTAATTTAAATGCAAAAAAGAAAAAGGCTGAACAATCAGGGTTTGAGGTAACAGGGAAGTACTTTAAAGTTTCAAATAAGTCAAACAAATTTGGCGACTGTAAAGCATACTTTTGAAGTTCCTCTAGGAGCCAAATTTTAGAAATATTTTTTCTTGTTCCTTACATCCATATTATCACCCCCAAGCATATGCTAACAACATTATCTTCCACTTCCAAAGAATCACAAAATATGGCAAGATCATGACTAGCGTAGGAGATTCTTACATGAAACCCCACTTCTGGTTTGAGTCCCATGTTAAACATGAAATGTCATGATAGGTAAGTCATCTAACAAATGCTAGAAGCCATTTTCTTTTTGCCCACATCAAGAGTATATATAGTAAGAAAAATAAGCAATAGTGGCAATATTTCCATAGATGACTTGTGTATCTTTTGGGGCTGCCTCTATAGTATGTGAAAAAAAAAAAACTGGAAGAGATTATAAAAGCACAAAGAGATCCTGTGCACACAATATGCCCAGTGTATTTAGGAAAGTCTGCAAAGACCTTGACTGTACCTACTATACATTTTAATTTTCTTATTAGAAGCCATTATTGTTTCCACTCCCCTTAACACCCTGTCTAGTGTCATCTTTTATTTCTTCTTCCAGTGTCTAGACTGAATATAATTGGTAAATTTGGCTACTGCCACACAGAAACTATTTTTTTTCTGATAACTTGAAGCAAAGACAAGAAACTGCGTCAGTGATCAGTGTTCTTTAACAATAGTTTGTTCATACCTGGAAAAGTTTGTCAAACTAGTTTCGTAAATTCCAGTAAATTCACTGCCTCTCCTAAAAATCCAATGTATATAACGCTTGTTCATGACCACCTTTTCCTATGCATATTTATTATTCTCTGAAACTTATTCCCTGCTTGTCTACTTTACTGATGTTCCTGGCTTTTCCTAGTCATCTTCAATTCTCATTTTATCTAACCAAGAGATTAACATTTCAAGTAAATATCCTAAGCAAATGATTAATAGGACAAATCTGAAACTCTGTCTAACAACAATAATTTAAACAATACCTATATACTGTATATAAGCATATATACCCTACATAAGTTGAATACCCAACTTATATACCTACGTAAGTTGAATACCGTATCAGGGAAAAAATCGTATGTGTAGATAAAATCATCAAATTTGTTGGTGATTCTTTATACATCACAGAAAATAAAGAAGGGACATGAAGAATAGATATAATAGACATTTCTCATGGTTTTTTTAGGTTTTTTTCTTTTTTGCTTATTGCATGACTTTTTTCTCATTCCAATATTTAAATCCTGTTCCTACATTTGGGAAATTCCACATTATGCAGCAGAGAATCTGAGTCCTAACACAAAGCTAAAAATGTCTGGTTCTCATCTTCCTGGTCTCCTTTTTAGCTAGCACATGAATCTTGATCATAGGTATAAATGCTAGCCTATGAATTGTCTGCCAGTTGTTTAAAGAAATACAGAGTACTAAAAATTTCATTCTAGTAAGAGGACTAGCAATCCTGGCAGCCACGTCCAGTTTCCAGAGGCAACAGTGGGAAGACAAATTGAAAGAGGAAATTACAGACTCAGGAAAAATGTCAGAAAATGTCTAATGAAATAAAAGATATGATGAATAAAATCTAAAGGTAAGTCTAAAGTGTCCTGACTTCCTCATCTGGAATACCAAAACTCTACCCTAAAATAACATAAAGAAGCATAGAGTTGGCATAATTAATGTACACAAAAATTTTAGAATGTTTTCTAACACATAAGGAGTACCGCTGTTGTCTTTCATTGTTATCATCATTACCATCGACATTATTATCTTTATTAGGTATAGGACTACAGGAATCCCTTAGTGATATCTCTCTTGCCTGAAGAGAGAGGCTAATGGGATATTGAAAGGGAAGTCTCTAGTATTTTAAGCTACAAACAAACAAATCAAAAGTAGGTTAAGTTGTTGAGAATCACATAAAGACTGTTCCAGGAAGATAAAAAAAAATTCACTGGTTTTAACCTATTTCAAAAGAAGGTGGGTCAGCATGTTTGTATTTTGGCAAAACCATTTCACATACTTTGTGATTTCATTCATTCCTGTCAAGTCAAAAAGTCCCTGCAAAATTCTACATGCTCAATACCCATGCAATAACTCACTTAAAACTCAAACCTAACTGACCTGTAGCCCCAGAGACAAAGAGATTAACATTCCATTGTCTGATTTCATACACATTCAGAATTTGTATGAACAAAATTCAGAATTTCCAACTGAGTGAAATCTGAAATACTCTGAATTTTTCCAATTTCATTCAATGTTCCCTGCTATTTTGACATATGAAATTTCATATACTCTCTGATTTCAGACATGCGAAACTGCATGTAGGCTCTGATCTTCAAAACTTTGGTTACCAAACATCAAGAAGTAAACCCCTGAGCCACAGAAAGTAATGGAGCATTCAATTCCTACATTGTCTCTCAGATTGTAGCATAATGCAAATAAAAATTGACCTCAAGTTTCAGTCTCAGAATAAAATTTTCCTTTACCATGCTATGGTAAAAAATCTGGAAATATTTTCATTTCATATTCATTTTTGAATAATAGTTTTACTAACTATAGAATTTTTGCTTGACATTTTTTACCCTCAGGACTTTTCATGTCATTTCACTAATTTGTGGCCTCCACTGATCCTGATGAGAAGTCTACAAGTAGTGATATTTTTTCTGCTATGTAAGTTCTTTTTCCTTGTTGTTTTCAAGATGTTATCTTTGTTCTCTTTCACTAGTTTAACTATAATGTGTCTAAGTGTGGATTCTACTTAAATTTATTCTACCTGGAGTTCACTGAACTTCCTGGATTTATAGATTAGTGGTTTTTATTGCATTTGGAGAGTTTTCAACAACTATGTCTTCAAATACTTTTTCTCCTCCTTTCTTTCTCACCTCTCCTTCTGGGATTTTTATTATTCATATATTGGAATACTAGATATTGACCAACAGGTCTCAAACTACTCATATTGTTAAATCTTTTTCTCTGTTTCTCATAATTAATGACTTCTATTGATCTGTCTTTCAGTTCATTAATTATGTCTTCTGCCCTCTCAAATCTTCTAAGTCCAGTTAGTAAATTTTTTATTTATGTTTTTGTACTTTACAACTCTAGAATTATTTTAATTCTTTTGTTTGTTTCTTTGCTTGCTTCTATGATCTATTGAGATTCTCTATTGGCTCACTGCTAGCATACTTTAATTATTTAAACCTAAGGTCCATTAATTCTTTGAAAAAAATGTTAATAGCTGATATTTACATATCTAATAAGTTTCGGTGGAAAAGTGGATATTTTAAGATAAGATAGCAACTCTGGATGTTTTTCTTTAATGAGATTTGCTGTCCATTTCACCTAAGTTTTCAAATTTCAAATATGTTAAGAATGCAAACTGTTTACTTACTGCTTTCAGAATCTATAAAGATGTCCATATTTTCATTTCTGAAATTTGTCATTTAAGCTATTTCTCATTTTTTCTTAGTAAGTAACATTATAAGGTGGTTTATTCTATTCTATCTCTTAAGATAAACAGATTTATCTAAATATATAGCATAGGTTTACCTTTATGTTTGAATTTGTCTCTTTCTCCTTAAAGTTATGTCAATATTTGCTTTGCATATATGTGAAGCTGTGCATACAAGTTTAAATTATCATATTATTCTAGTTAATTCAACCTTTTAAAAATATTGACAGGCCATGACTGTTTATTCTAAATAGCTTTTTGCTTTAACATATTTTATCTCAAATCGAAATAGCTACTCCTGGATTTCTACCAATGAGTAAGCTTTCATAAACCATTGTTACCTCTGCATTAAATTTCAGAGACAGTAAAATTTTTAAATTATTGTTTGAAAGATATCAGAGATTGGTAAAAATAAAAGGATTTTTGTACTAAATTCCAAAAAGTAGAAGAGCCCTTCCTATGTAAATTGAGATT